AAAAAAGGGCCTCAACACACAGCCGGAAGCATCCAGGGAAAGACCCACAAGCTTGTTAGCAGCCCGTGTCAGCGCCGGTTGGCTGGCTTGCTAATTATGTTTTGGTAGTGCACGATGGAGCTAGCTTAAGAATAGGCAGCAGCCCTCTGGGCCAGATTCACATGCCTTCAGGACACGGAGACAAAACCAGCATCACAGCGCTCTGGGGAGGAGGGGCCGGGGCACCCTCCTTCGGTTGGGGCAGGTGAAAGGAGGGGTTGATTCGGGGTGCTGGCTCACTGTGTGCCTCTACAAACTTCCTCGTTAGAAATTAAACACACACTGTGCAGGAGTCAATTATCAATTAAGTGACAAGTTGGATAAACACTGTGGGTGGTAGCTGACCCTTCAAGGGGTTTCTGAAGCTCCAGCTTCTTTGAAGCCTTGCTTTGGCTTTGCCAGCCGCTGATTAGGTTGATTTAAAAGTGAAATTGTGCTGGGCTAATGGAAACAAAACAGAGGGAAGCTCCTCTGTGTCTTCTTTGTTCTGTGGAGTAATGGTGCCTGGTCCGGTGGTGGAGGGGGAGAATCATGCTGCTCAGGGAGAGATAAAACTGTAGCTGTGAAGCCTCTGAGAGGACCGGACTCCGGCTTGGTATAGGGCAGGTTCTCACGTTGTTGCAGAAGTTCCTCAGCAAGGGAGGCTCTGTCGCTTATTGGTCCTGCCTGTTGGATGCCTACCTTGCTCTCCCAGCACCAGGCCTCCTCTGCCCTTTGTGAGGTTAGTTGACATCAAATGGGGCGGCCAGGCACCTCCACACAGAGGCACGTAGCTCAGCAGATGTATGCGATGGCAGAGCAGCCCGGTGGACGTGGAGATGGGCTGGCTGAGGGACTAGGCAGGGCGCTGGCTGGGGAGGTCTGGGGTGTGCAGGAGGCTCAGTAATAGGTGAGGCTGCCGGACTCTGCCTTGATGGCCAGAGCAGGTGCGGCCAGCTGTGTTCAGAACACGCTTAAGACACATCCGCAACTGTTCCCTTCCTTTCCTGGCACAGCGGTGAGTGGAGCGGTTATTCTCCCTACCAGAGTGTGTGATCTAAAGACAGTAACTGCCTACCCCCTCGTTTCCTGAGCAGACAATGTAACCTCAATCTCTTCCATCTTCATGTCTTAATTTAGAAAGCCTAGCAGGTTAATACTGAAATAAAATCAATTCTTCTTTTCGATATTTCCAGAGTTACAAGTTATGGGCTACACCATCCAATCACTTTGGGGAGAAGGAAGAAGGCACGGCGAGTTGTGCTGCTACATGCTTTCTTTCTCCTTAATTGCAAGAAAACTGTAATTTATACTAGCCTCTGTTGCATGGTGAACTGGAAACTGCAGCTCTCCCTTAGAGTAGAGGACTAACAGGAAGCCAGCCTACACAAAATTAAATCTGTCTAGCTTCAAAGTTGGTTTCTTCTGACACACGTATGGGCAGTCAGGTTTTAATCACGCGCGCTCTCCTCATGCAGTGTGAGACGGTTTTGGCACATGACATCATGTGCTGTATTTAGCCTGCCTCCCCAGTACCCATGGCAACTCTCACACAACATAGCTGAATTGTTAATTTCACTGCAAACTTAATGAATATAAGGCTAATCCTATCATTATTCTTAACAATTTTCCAAGTATCGTCTTCTGAGAGTGTTCTTGCTTGTATTTTCTGTCTTTTAAAAGCAGATTATTGGAAAATTACATGTGTGGCATGCTCAGCCCCTTCTGTACTCAACACGGGGCTCCCACACACCCCACGGCAGAGGAGGTCGCGTCCACCCACGGCGCTCCTTCCTGTTTTCCTCGCAGTTCCAGGACAGATAAATCTGTTAAATATAGCAATTTGGGCCATTAAACATTCCAGAGACTGTCACTAAAATTATGGTAAAATAATAGTGTTTAAGATAGGCCACATTATGTGCATTGTATAAACGTTAAAAGGTGCTCCCATTACCCTGCTCTGTATGTTAAATGTGCTCACATACACTGTGATGGTTATGCAGGGAGCCTCCTTCCTCTTTCTCCCTCCACTGAAGAACAAGTGGAATCTGAGAGATCCACTGAAAAGTAATCCTAGGTACAACCAGGGCCAGACATTGTTTTGTGATTATGATTAATACTAAGCGTCACAAAAGCCAAAGCAAATGACAGCGCCAACAACAGAACCCCGACACCCTGCTGTTCCCCATTTACTGATGTAGCACAGGATTGCCTCTGGTGTCCGTGCTCCCTGCTGTGTTGGACCTCACCTCACCCCTGGGAGAAGGCTCAGGGTCCAGGCTGCACTGGGAGAAGGTGCTTCTCCACCCACCCTACTGCTGCTCAGACCCAGACAGGACAGGGGGACACAGAGAAGAGAGGCCTCCAGTCTGCCCTGTGCCCCAGCTCTAGCTGAGTTCAGTGGGGGCCCTGCCATCCTTTGTCCTGGTTCATCACAGGGTCCTTAAGGGTGCTTGTGGATGGAACAGGGAATGACAGTAGCAGGGACGCTTCAGGACGTATGCATCAAGCGCAGGATACAACATAAGGCACATGGTGATGGGAAGGAATATGGCTCTGTATGTTCCAACAGTGGCCCTGCCAGGAGAGCAAGGGCCTGTCTGGCCTAGAGGACCAGAAGCCACACAGGGTCAAAGTTCCATGGAAAACTTCCTGCCAGCTTCTTTGGACAATATCTGGGAAGTGGCATAGGCCAGGAGGAAACCTGCCTTCCGGTCTGAACCCAGCCCCAGGGCGCTGGGAGCCACCTCCCAAGCCCCTGACAGTGCTGCGTTGAGGACAGCAATGTGCCACGCTGGTCTCGGCCCTGGGGCTGCTGCCCTACCCAGCGTGCAGACAGAGCACACCCTTAGGGCTCCTGGCCCCGCCTCACACACCTGTGTGAGCTCCCATGGGCTCTTCAGGAATATGTGCAGGGAAGGCAGAATAAGAGCTTGGCAGCAGAGAATAGAGGACAGAAGAGAAATAAGTAAATGACAGAAGAAACAGGCAAAGTTAAGTAAAATAATGTCCTCTAACTCCTGGTTCCCCTGTGAAGTAGGAATCAGAGGACAGAAACGGGCTTTGCTTATGCAGCAGGAGGTCCTCACCCTCAGGAATGAACCACTCTCCCCCGGCCCCACAGCTTTCAGGACTTGTTACCCTTTGGGCATCTCTTCTTTCCATTTCAGACATCACCCTGCCAGTCACAGCATGTTTTCCTCTTTCTTACATGAACTCGCTGTGCTTGGAAAAATCCCTCACTAGGTTTCAAAGACCCTAGCTCATCTGCATATACTTTTCAGTTATCTCCGAGCTGACCTCCGCCAGCAAAGCCATCAGTCAGTACCGACACGTACAGAATTCACACAAATACGGCCTTTAAAGGTAATCATGTAATCTTTGAGAATCCTGCCGTTTACTTTCTATTTCAGGAATTTTATAAAAGAATGTTATTTTAAAGTTAGAGTTATGTTGGACCACGTGGTTCTCTGATAAAGATTGGTAGAGATTAGGCACTTGGTTAACGCATAATGAATTAACTTTAACAGGATAAATTTTATTTTAGCCTTTCCCTTTTTTTTTTTTTTTTTTTTTTTTGGTTTTTTTTTTTCCAGTACCAGGAACTGAACTCATGACCTTGCCCTTGCCAGGCAGGCACTGTGCTGCTGAGCTAAACCCCCAGCCCCAAGCCTCCCTTTATACAAATAGATTTGCACAGTCATGAGATTGTGGAAGAGTCTGTCTCCTGACTCTCAGGTAGATACTGTTCACAAATAACTTTGAGGTTAGCAAGCAAAGCTGGATAATAATTTCAACCAACGCTCCAGCCGTTAAACTATACAAAATAAGTGCATAGATCAACTATATAAAATATAAACACATACATTAAACTTCACAAAATAAGCACACACATGGTAACCTAAAAATATTGTTCAAAGTGAATCAATTAAAACAAAGACCCTGGAGACAGGTACATTATATTTTCTTTTTCTAATTGGAAAGTCATTAATCATAAACACAATAAAAGCCAAAGACAGAAGGGATTTATCAATGAACGCAAACACTCTGCTGTGGGACTTGAGCTTTGAAAAATAAAACTCAATTCAACTTCAATGTGTTTCACATTTGGCATACTTATTACTTAACCTCTGCACTGAAAGGAAAACTTGGACCTCAAGAAATATTTACAACCATTCTTCACTTCCCCATCTGCCTGTGCATTTTCTCTGGGATCCTTCCTAACTTGAGTATATTATCCCCAAAGTTTTTCACAAGTCGAGTACATAAAACAAATAATTAAAACAAATGTTCAACTCACAACAAGTGAATTATTAGAAATATAACTTAAGTCTTTAGAAATCTGTGTTTCTTTACGTGTTCCATTTAAATGACTTGCTTACAGCCAATGCTTCCCTGAAGCCAGAACTTCCAAAGCTCCAAAGACAATAACCAGAAGCCCTGTATTCTTGTGTCTCTGCCACTGCACCCTCCAGAGAATGGACCATCCTCTGGCCGATTGTATGTGCATGGTAGGTGCTTGACTAGGATTGCCTTTGGCACTGTATGGCCACAGGCCCATCCTCAGAGGGACCTCCTGGACTGAGGAGACCATGGGCAAGGAGAAATAGACATATACCATCACAGATCTGTAGCAGGCTCATTCTGCAGGAATAAAAGTAACTCCACAGTCTAAAACCACTTCACAGTGAATCTGGCCCAGACCAATCCAGAACCCCATTGTCCTTCAGCTGCTACCTTCTGCCTTGCTTTAGCAGTAGTTTGATGTCAGAAGAAGTACATTCAAATGCACAGGGAGCTTTCCCAGCACCAAATAACAACACAAAGGCAAACTGGAATCTTTGAAACGAGTCACAGTTAGGAGGAGTCAAGACTTGGACTGTCCTGCTGGCAAGAGGATGTCAGTGGGAAACTCCTGACCAAACCAGTGGGCACTGGAGCACATGTAGTCACTCCAGCAGACCGCCTGTCCCCCGGCTTACCATATGGATGGGGCTTCTGTCCCGCTGATCTCCAGGAAGTCGTACCCCTCTTCCAGCTGAAAGTCAGTGAAGACCAGCGCTATGGTGTCCCCCGGCTCGGCCAGGATGGTCCAGGTGCAGTCTGCGTTGTTCTCGTACTCAGAGGGGAAGTGCGGGCTGGAGATGGTGCTGCTGGTGCCCCGCAAGGTTCCTCCACATGCGCCTTCGGCTGCAGGGACAGAGGGACAGCACTGTGTCTCAGGATGCTTGTGGGGAAGAGGGTGTCCCCAGCATGTCCCTACCAACCGCGGATAAATGTGTTCTGAACCCAACATGGAGGTGATCTGAAGAGGGACCCCTTTGATTTGCTCATTTTGTTCTATGAAAAGGCTCACAGAAAATTAGCAGCTAAATTTCATTATGAACTGAATGGTCATTGTAGGAAAGAGTAAAATTATTGCATTCTTGGGCTGGGTTAATGGCAAATAAATTTGACATTAAAAAAATGAAGTGTAGGACATTCTGTTAGTTTTAAGACAAGTTTAAATCTTTTCATAGGGAGATGAGGTAGACAAGACTAAGTGAGATGTATTTACTTAGTAGTGAATAAATTATATATGAATGTAAATATATAACAAATTTTGTTATGTGGAAATATTTATAGTGATATTTTACAAGCATGAATATTTCATATGTATGTTCATGATCAGTAACATGAAATAAACACTTTCTTAATTTTTCACTTTTATTTTTTCCTCTGATTTCATTGTATCTTCCAAATTTAAATTCTTTCTGTATAAGAGGAGTTGCAAAACAAAACAAGTTGTAATGCTTTTATTATATAAAAAATGAAATGTCACCAAACAGAAGCCTTGGCTTTTATCAGAATCCAGTGCTATGGTTAGATAATTGGTTTGAGGTATTAAATTAAATACAGCTTCTGAGAGTGCACAACTCCTATGTAATCCAAGTTCTTGGCCTACAAATGCCCCTTTGAAAGTGTTATAGTGGAAAATATTGACAAACATTCATTCGAAATTTTTGCAAGGCAATCTACAAGTTGAACTCCATGTGACTTAAAGGGCCGTGGAGTGGGTATCTCTGTGTAAAATATGATGGAAGTCCTAATGCGGAGAGTCTAAAATAATCAGTCAAGCTGCATTCTTCTGGAACACATCCCGGTTACCTCCTCGAAGAGGTCATGTCAAAGCTGTTCACCCAGAATTCACCATGCCCAGTAGTGCGGTGTCCAGGGCCCCTGGCCTCCCTCACCCCTGTTCTCCGCACTGTGGGAGGCTGACAGCCAGCTCTAGGGTGCAGTCCCATGTGCAGTCCCCACATCATGGTCCAGACACCATGGCTGACACCGTGGCTCCAGACAGTGGACAGACCAGTTGGCATGAGAACATTTTATTACTTCGGGTCCTCACTGAGCGGACCACAGCCCACTGGACAATGTGGATCCCCAGCTTAGGGACTTCACAGTGGAGTGACCATGAAGGAAGGTTTTATAACAACTCAGCTGGCAACAAGAGTAGATGACACAAAAACAAAAGTAACGGAAAATAATGACAAAGTGGAAGAGAAAGATAAAGTTGACAGATAAGAAAAAGTGTTTTCCCACCACTCCTATTTTCTTTGGTTCATCCTGTCACACTCAGAGGGCATTTTAACATGCACCATGGCTAGAAAGAGGCCAGCGAAATAGATGGCTGGTGTGTTGGCACTGTTTGTGCTGCTGTTCTCATGAAAGTCACAGAGCACCTCTAAGTTCATCTGGCTGGTGTTGTCTTTGAGTGTCAAACATTTAACATAAATACATGTACATATTCCCTGACATTCATTTGGATGAAAATTTAGACCATGGAGAATCCTGTTTAGTAGTGTGACATCGTCATGAAACAGTGCTCACTGCTGAAGGTTTGTCTGTCAGAACTTCAGTGCCTCAAAGTTTTTGTAAGACATTTTATTTTCTAAACTGCTATGTTTTCCGTATCTAAATACATGAAGTACCTGAAGAAGTCCTATCCACCTATGATTTTCACTGAGCAATGTGCTTTTAAATATAAAATAATCTGTTTCAGGTTTAGATTTAGGCATATCTACAATGCTTTTAGTTTTAACATTGTGTAACATAGTAAAGAGGTTTTGAAGCATGTTTTACATGACAGACTAATCAGTACATTTTAATTAACTACTCAATTGGTTTTTTTAGAAATTATATTTAATTATCAATTAATCCTCCAGGATGGTTTCCAAAGATATTGCACTGCATTTCTCTAAAATATCACTAAATAAAAAAGTCTGTGGAAGAGGCATGATCAGAAATGGATGTCTGTATCTTCATAACTTGGAGTGTTCTACAGAAAAAAGGCTCCACTTTACACAATAAGATGAAATATTGAATTGGAATCTGAAAAATATTAGCAAGTCTTTCATAAACAAGGTGTACCTAAATTAACATGTTAAGGTATAACACAATGGATAAATTAATGTAATAGGAGATAATGCAATTATCTCAAGTAAGTAAATATGATGACTATTGCTGGAGCAGAATAAAGTGAACCATTCTAGCCATGTAATAGTATTTCAAAACAAATACACACAGCTAACATTTAAAAAACACAGTGAAAAAGAACATTTACAGCATTCCAAGAGAGGAGCATTATTTATAATTATTGGAACTATATGTTTAAGAATAAGATACAGAGATACATGGAGAAGTTTAACTACTAACTTAAAGATAAGTTTCAGAATTTAAAAACTTACTGTGGCAAGGTTTCAGCCTCTCTTTTTATCTTAGACATTCAATTAAAACAGTAGTGAAATATCCTCTAAAATCCATTTAGAAGCAAAAGCTTGAAAATGCAGGATAGCCAAGAGGAGAACTTGAACTATTTTATGTCCCCATTTTCAGTGTACACTAATGAGAAACCGGGCAGTTTGGTCATCACTAGCGGGAAAACGCCTCTGTTCATATATTTTGGCAACATGCTAAGGTTTTAGTCTTCTACTTGTGAAGTATGTTCGGTGTCTGCATTCTGTGCTACATCTTCTGTATGGACTCACTTAATCATTTAAAAAATGTAGCAGAAAATTTTTGTAATTGTCGCAATTTCACAGTTGTTTAAAGTAAGTTTTTGGTTACTTAAAGGAAAACAAAGCCATCAACTGAGAAATCAAGAACACCATGAAACAAAATAACATGATCAAATAAGTAACATTAAAACTTGTTTTAAATCCTTGGGTAAAACCAGAGAGAATAAGGCAATATCTGTAATTATTCTTTGCAACCTACACATGTAGATAAGGATGTCACAATACTTTACTTTCTTCAAATGAAACAGAGAATGTAGTTAGGGTCAACTTATGACTTCTTATCACAAACTATATTATGATTTATGTTGCTTACATTATCTAGAGAACCAAAGCATATAGTATTTTTCAATTTTTAACCAGAGAACCCAAGAATGTTACTGTGTTACTGTTTTTTGCTATTTTTAAATGTATCTCTTAATATATTTAAATGGGCTTGGTGCTGCACACCTCTAATCTTTGCTAAGAAGGAAGCTGAGGAAGGAGAAGAGTAAGGTCTAAATTCAAAGTTATGCTGGGCAACTTATAAGACCTTATCTCAAAAAAGATAAAGTGTGGTGGGAAGAGGGATCTATCTCAGTGGTAGAATGCTTGTTTTGCATGCATGAAGCCCCGGGTCCAGCACCGCGGACAGCTCCCGGCCCTAGTCCATATTTGACGTCTATTGCCATTTTCATGGATTCATCACTATGATGGAGTAGAGACAGATTCCTGGGTTGCAGCGAACAGAACGCGATTGTCAGGGAACAGTACGGGATGACTGGGTGCAGTGAAGCCTGCGTGTGCTGCAATCTGTAAAGAAGGTGCTGACACAGCAGGGGCCCTTCTGTAACTCTGCCCTCTCTCCAGGACCCCCAGTCACAGTGCACACGTGGCTATGTTTCCTCCTTGGGCTTTCCAGCATAAAGAGCATGTCTGCTTGCTGGGGGGCAGCCACCGTGCCTGCGACTTCACATTCCCAGGGGTTATCCATGGACAAAGAGGGATAGAATTTGGTGAGTAAATATCACTGCTTCCTTCTGCTGGGTGGAGATTTCTAATGTGTAATTCACAGACTATCAGGCAAGCTTCAGAATGAATTTGTACCTGTTGCCCTAACATGAATCATACACTTACTACACAATTTATCAGTATTCTTCATTTTCTCTTATTTCTCTACTTCCTCATTCTGTATCCTGAATCTCCTCCCAAACACACTGGTCCTACCTAAGTCTGGATTTCAAAGTCCACTCTTGGAGGAAGGGGTAGACTAGTAGAGAGATGTGAGCTGTGCATGTCTGTATATAGTAACACATTTTGATTTGCCATCGTCTGACTTTGCTCACACAATTCTCCCTTTCTCAGAAGGCTGGTCATTACACATGAGGTGCTCCTGAAAACCTAACCATCTTCATCCTGTTCCACCTCAAGTTACAGGAGATTCCCCGGTAATCATCATAGCGAGGAGACAACTTAGAGAGTGGAAAAAATGATTTCCAATTATATATTTGATAAGGTTTTGATATCCAGAAGATAAGAAATGCAATAATTTAATAAAAAATTATAAGCTGATGAAAATGAGAAATACATTTAAATAGACATTTGTCAAAAAGAAGGTCTAAAAATGGAAAACAGATATATGAAAAATGCTTATCACTAATCATCAGGGAAATATAAATTAAAACCACAGTGAAGTATCACTACACTCAAGAAAGAATGACTATCATCAAAAACTAGAAGTAACAACTGTTTTGTGAATGGAGGACATGGAGCCCTTGCACAAGTGGGAAAAATATAAATCAATGCAGCCATTATGGAAAACATGGAGGTTTCTCAAAAATAAAAAGTAGCACTAGCACATGACCCCACAACCCACTTACTGGATGTTTACCCAGAGGAGATGAGATCAGTATGTCCAAGAGGCAGCTGACTCCCTGATATATGCAGCACTACTCGAAATAGCCAGTAGTGGAGACAGCAGGTGTCCATCAACAGATGAATGGAAGAAGAAAATGTGACATATGTACGTCAAGAGGATATATTTAGTGACAAAAAATGAAATTCTATCGTTTGTGATAACATGAATAGACTCACTGAAGATCATTATTTGAAGTGAAATAAACCAGACACAGAAAGTCACATCCTGCATGATTT